ACTGCTTAAGGACTTAAAACCAAAGTACACCCTGAATTTAAAATGCAAAGAAGCACACTGTAGGTTTAAAATGTTTTCATTGTCTTCCAGATTTATATAACAGAATCTAAAATGTGCTTTTACCTAAAGCTATTTCTACCTAGGCTGGAGGAACATGTTTGCAACATGACTTGGGTAATGAACTTTATTGTCTCATCACATTCCTTTTTGCTCTTGCCTTGACTTCCTAAACCACCTTACTGTCCTCTTGGGTTGGGAATGTTTTATATAAAAGAAGCATTATGACTTTAATGATTGAATAACAATTTCAAATTTCCAGTTCAGTCTACTTACCAGCTTAGAGATGATTTAATGCAGCATGAATAGGTTTCCCTCAGAAATGGATATGATCTGCATTGACTAGTTTTTCAAATACCTCTTCTTCCACACATTAAAATACCAGCAGAAAACTGGGCGAGGGGTGTGGCTTGGGTAGGGCACTTGCAAGACCCTGGGTTCAATCTCCAGCTTGGAAAAAAATTTAAAAAACAACTAAAATACATTCAGAACTATGACACACATGTGTGACCTGCTACTGCTATAAGAGAATCACCAAACCACCCACAGGACTACAGCTGACAGGACTTCTCCAAAGACGTGGAAAGTTGTGGTTTTCACATTAGAATATCCACAAAGACTCTCAAAGGAAACTAAAACATTTTCATATATTTGGTTTTCTTTTTTTAAAAAAAATAAGTACCTGGCCTAAATATTCTGCCAGTAGTTCCATCAAGAATGTAAATATTTCTTTAGTGCTAATTATGTATAGAACTCTGTTGAGGGCTTCGGTGATCTGCACTAGATCTAGCGACACCCAAGACACCATCCCCGCCCAGAGGTGGCTTTTCATCCAAAGCGCTACTACCTTTAAGTAGTACCCTGGAGCCAGAATAGTGCTTCTTAACCTATTACTCTTTTTTAAACAAAGTTCTTCTAAAAGCTTGTAAATCTTTAGCTGTACTCTATAATTAATTTAAGAGGGAGGGGGGATTAAAAAATAGATAAACGAACCTCAAACTTCTAAGTTTGGTTCTGGCCTTTAATAGTCAGATACAATTTTTGAACAAAATGGACAATAATTTACTGTAAGTAATAAAAATAGGATTGATCTTGCCAAGGACAAGGAACCAAGGATTCAGGGCCATCCATGTGTACTAATTTGGAAATGACAAGCTTATAACTTTTACAGTATTTTATGGCTCTTTCTTTCCAAAGAAGCACACATATTGCACAAGGCCTGTGAATATACAAGCATCCTCTGCCAAAAGCAGCTGTGAAAGCTAAAAGATTACTTAAGTATTGTTTTTCAACCCTGAATTTGTAATGGGTAATTGTTTAGAAATATTTGGTGCTTAATAACTTTGCAACTTTGAATTCAGAAAGATTTTACAGCCCCAGGGCTACATGGCTTGATGGCTCAGTTTCATAAATCTACCAAGAGATCTGGTCATTGTAACTGTGCTCACTTTGTTTGGTTGTAAAACAAAAGCCATAGAGGATATCAGTTATGCCTAGCACAGTGCCTGCCTACAGGTGGACACTTGGTGAAGGTTGAGGAGCCAGGCTGGATATGAATTTTGGTTTCTCTTTAAATCGGTCTGGAAAATATAAGCAATGTTGGCAAATAAGGAATCACTGTCCCTCTTAAACTTTGTTCTCAGAGACTCACATAACACCAGAGGATTAAGCAGTAATGCTTTAGGTATCTCTGGAATTCAAAAATTAGGGAATATCCTGGAATAATCTTGTACAAAATGAAACAAAGTTTCTACCAAAATGATGAAATATTTGCTGTTCCCTTGAAAGGATAAAAGCATAGCAGTCAGGGATTGCAAAGAAATGCAGAAGAGCCCGGCTGCATTATTTTCTCAGGGTCATGGCAGAGAAGCAACTTATTTCCAAAAGCCCAGTCCAAGGACACAGCTATCCCAATCTGGGATCAGAATTTCTTTGTGGATCTCACCACTTACCTAGTGAATATCCAAGCTGCTGGCTGCACACCCAAACACCCTCCTTCCCTGATATTATCACAACCCCCTCCAGGGTGGGCTTCCCGTCCAGGTAGAAGGAAACACAAGAAAGCCAAAGTCACCCTTCTAAGGCTTCCTGGTAAATAGTTTCCACTCACCAAAGGGTTTTCCTGAGCCTCAGCTGAGTACTGTAATTCTTAAGTGATACTGTAAGATAGATGTTAATTTTAAAAACATGCCTACTCTCTTTCAGAGCCTGCTGTTTTACCTAAATTTTAACAATTATCTTTCATCATAGCAGCACACAGTCCCTTTCGGACCTGTACATGAGTTTAGCAATGAGGAAAGGGAGCTGTTTACATTTCCACTTTCTGGCTGTTATCTGTTTACAAAATATTTAGTTTTTTTCCATTGCATTGGAAATTGCTTTTAACTTGAGCTAGATTTCTTATTTCTCCATATATCCCGCTGGAGGTTCAAACTTAAAAAAAAAAACCAATAATCAATAACCTCCAAAAGTCAACCTCATGTGGAAGTCAGCAGGATGAATTTAATGTTTTGCACAGGAATATTCATATGTTCATTAGTTTTTGAAAATGCAACATTTCTCTTTCTCTTGAGTTGATGGTAAAGGTGCCCTGGGAAAAGAAATAATTCATCTGGGCCTCTCTAACAGGTTAACACACTGACCTGCTTTAAAGGGAATAAATGGTGTGGCTTGGGGCAATTAATGTGGGGACCCCAGGGGACTTAAAGACTTGAAAGGAATTGTGCACCGACTGTAGTGGGTGAAATGTTTTGCTCCCATTAAATATTTTCATCCAAACCTCCAATTTGATCGGTTTTAAAGCCTAATTAAACGTACTCTTGATTAAAAGAAGTTGCAAAAAAAAAAAGCTGTGTTAAATTAAGAAATATAAGTGAGGCGAATGAACTGTGCTCTACAAGTGCTAACAGACAGAAATCAGCGGTTATGTAACAAGTTGATTTAAAAAAAAAAAAAA